GAGAGAGAGAGAGAGAGAGAGAGAGAGAGAGAGAGAGAGAGAGAGAGAGAGAGAGATGTATTGTATACTAATGTATGTGCAAATAATGACATGGTAGGACCTCAGTGAAAGCTGACCAAAAAGCTTCTAGATTCTGCAACCACTTCTTCTAATAACACATTTAATAAAGGAAAAAAAAACAGCTTAAGTTATTGATTATTTAGTTATGTAGCCCAATCTCTTTGATAGTGTAAAATCATGTGCCATTAGTAGAAGGACTTGGCCATTGACTTGATCAGACTTATACTCTACTTAATGAACGAATACAGAATATTCGGCTTAAATGGATCAAAAGTTTGAATCTCTTTTTGACAATGTTCATGTCTATTTTAATCATAAAAGATGTGAGTTTTGGCTCTCGCAGTTGTTCTTCGGAGATGAAACAAGAAAACAACAACAACAACAACAAAAGGCCATATGAAGCTCACATTAGGTTCAGCAATGGAAGATCAGACGATGGTCACACCCTGAGGCATTTCTTTGATGATTGGCCACGATCATCTGACTCTACCTCAAGTCCAATGAGCTCGAATTGTCATATTTCCATCTCCATTCCCGGTAACACTTCATCAGACGTCTCTCTAAAACTTTCAACAAGCAATGAAGTAGAAGAAGCCAACAACAATGAGAGGGAGCTGCAACAAAGCATGAACTATTGGAACAGTGGAGGGAATCACCACAATATGGGTGGACCATTGGCTGAAGCCTTGAGGTCAGCCTCTTCAACGTCAAGTGTTCTTCATCAGATGGGAATCTCAACTCAAATCTTTCGTTGAAGCAATTGTTATAAAACCCAAATCAAGTCCTGTGTCAAGCTTTCCTTTGAAACTGCATCTTTCTGCAGATGTCTTTCTCTGTGTTTCAGTGATGTTGTTAGTGGAAAAATACATGCTTTTAAATCAAGACTAATATGATCCTCTTTTAAGTACATTCTTTGAAAATCCTTTATGCATTCAAAACTGCTTATCAGTCTCGTAAGTTTTGAGTTAATGTCAATGATTCATGAGTCATTAGAGCTTATTCTGGTACTCTTCACTAACAGAAATCTGGTTTAATCTGAACCGAATCAATGTCCCAACAACACTTAAACCACTCCGAACCAGCTGATTTTCGGTTTAAAGTAAAACACTTTGTCATGTTTTTTTGTTCACTAAACACTTTGTCATGTCAACCTCTGAATAAAGTCTCTAACTCTTCTTCTTACATTTTCTCCATGATATTCTTTATTCATGCGGGTTCAGATATTTCGGTATTCGGGATTGGTATCAGTTTTGGTTATTCGGTTCGGCACCCATTTAACTGTAGTAAACCAAAAATAATTTGGTTTGTTTCGGTTTCAACTAATTTTTCTGTTTAAAAAACATTATTTGAAGATAACCGATTTTCTTTTGGGTTTATGTTAAATTTCTTTTTTTTTAACTAGAGCTTAATCCGTACGTCTGTGTGGGTATTTATTTTCACTTCTATAAATTGTTTAAATGTTTATTAGTTAATATTTTAAATATTTATCATACTTTTAATTTTTTTATAAACACCATAGTGAAATAATTTACATGTTGTAAAAAAATATTGACCCATACGCCATATTAAAATTGCGATAAACATTGAACCATTGATATGTTTGAGTAATATCTCTTTTAACACAAAATCGTTTCTCAAATATAATAATATTTTAATTATTTTGATTACATATGGATCATATGGCAAGATTTATATATCAAAAAAGAAATATTCCATTATAAACATTATATATTCCATTATAAACATCAATAGATTTTATTGTTTAAGATATTTAGTGGTAATGGTTAAACATATATTTTAAAACTTTAAAATACATATAGTTTAAGCGTTGCAAGCTAAAGGTGTAGAGTTGATATAATATTTGGGAATATTATATTATTAAAAATGTTTTTAAACTTGATTTTTTTCTAAAATTTAGTTAAATTATTTTAGAAAATATATTGATCACATAAATTTAGCTAAACTTGATTTAGGAAATGATTAAAAAAACATAAAAAGACAATGATTATTTAAGATTATTTATATTTTAATGGCATTAACTTGTAAATAAGTTGTAAATTTTAGGGTTACTTCTATTTTAATAATATAAACTAGATTTGATCCGCGTTTTGGAAGCGCGGGATATGTTTTGATGGTATATATGTTCACATGACTTTTAAACTTAATACGATCTTGTATAGATAGTTGTATTGTGAGAATGAACATTAAGCTTATTAACAGAGAGTTTTAGATATGTTTAGGTTCGTTAAAATGTAAACGGACCTTGAAATATTCTACTCGACAAAGACTAGAAACTATTTATTTGTATATATTTGATGTAATATAATAAAATAACCACCAAATATCAAATAGAATGTTAAATTTGTTTGCATAGATAATTAATTTTAATTATTACTAACTAAATTGTAGAATAAATAATTATAATGATATATGTATAAAATTATCAAAAACAATTTGGGTCTGAAGCAAACAAACTGGGCTTAGCATAAATACTGTTTTGTTATAATATGAAAAAGTATAGATATATTGTCATTATTGGACCGAATTACATATGTTTTCAGCCCAAAAATCGTTAATGATTATCATGTTTTAGAAATGTATTTGTTCCAAAATGTATAGATTTATGATCATATTAAATATTTTACAAATTAAATATGATCCTACACAATATATATAAATGTTTAAAACATAATTTGATTCTGAAATATGATTTCAGAATCGTTAAACAATTAAATACCATTTATTTTCACAAAACTATTCATGTCATCAATATCAATATATCAAATGCTATGCCTAAACGAATTTATCAGCAAAATATATTATGATGATTTGCAAGGCTAATTAAGATTCAGAACACAATCTAAAATTATATAGCAAATGAAACTGAAAACGAAATTATATAACACAAGATTAGGTTCAAAATAGAGCAACATTACATCTGAAATTTAAAGACACATAAAAAAATTCAAGGTTTGTTATTTATGAAGAAGAGAGATCAATCATACAACCAAACTTCACCCAACTTGCACCAATCTGGATATGGTGGCACTTTCCCCTAAGCCATCCTTTCTTTTGCAATGATCAATTTTTCTTCAAGCCTTTTTTTTCTCTTTAATATGTCCAAAAACCTTCTCGACCTGGACTATGACCTCAATCTTTGCATTGAGCTTCTCAACCTCTATCTCTTCTGCATATTTTGTCTTCATACCTTCGTAGCGCTCCTTGAAAAGACGAAGGAGATAACGTAGTGCTCTCTAGTCTCTTGCGTGCCTTTGTTGAAACCAAACTGGAAGTTTGAGTCCCAGTCTTTTACAACAAACTCCTTCATCTTCAAGTCTATGCTACTTTCCATGGAGTTTGGATTATGTATGTTTAAAGATATTTAAATATCGGTTACAATAACAAATGAGATTAACATCTAAAAGAAAATATAAATAAAACAAATTAAATGATCAACGTGGTTAACTAATCTAAGACAATACTTCAGTTCATAATTGGTAAAATAAACATATTAATAAACATATTCTAAGATGTAGATGAATAAATTAATTAAAGATCTTTTGCTACATGTTCAAAGAAAAATAAATTACGATTAACATACAAAACGAACATGAAAATCAAAGATCTATTTGTAACAACAATAACATTATAGAAATAACAGCCAAAATTATAGAAAAAAACTCCATTCACAATAACATCTAAATATAATCATGATCAAGAACAATTATTAACATGAAAAATCATCTAAGACTATATTCCCAACCTAAACTATGACTATCAACTAATTTAATAGGAAACTAAAGTAGAGAAATTTGTAAAACTTACTAAAATTATCTGGAGAGCCGATATTGGAGATGTTGGAAGTTATTAGGTTTTTGAGAAAGAGAGAATGAGAGTATATACATGAAAAAAAGTTAACCGAGGAGTTTTTTTAGTGGAGAGATTATCATTTTTTATTGGTAAATGAAACAAAATTATAACCTATAACCTAAATATAATTGGGAAACTAAGATTTTATATTTCAATCAGTTCAGAAGATTGTATTGTCATCTCACAAATATCATCATTATCTTTACATAGAAAATCTAAATAGGTTGTTAAGTTTGATAAGATAAAATATAAATATTAAATTAAATCAGAAGAATAAAATAATTTATTTATCTATAATTCATGGTATGCTAAAGGTCTATTCTATGAACTGTTTTTTGGACTATTAATAAATTTAATCAACACCAAGTTAAATAGATACAAATAATTAGATATCAAATTATTTTGTTCGATATTGGTACGAAACATAATAAGTAAGAGAATATTTAACAAATTGTATTATGTTTTACGCATACAAAACAAATCTTCAAATATATACAATGATTTTGTTTGATATTGGTACGCAACATAATAAGTAAGAGAGTATTTAAGGAAAATTGCCAAATATGACTCAAAACTTGATTTGAAATGCAAAAGTAAACCCAAACTTGAATCAAATGCAAAAGTAACTTAAAAGGCTGTTGAAATTACAACCAACCCCTTGTGAACAAACAAAAAAAGAGTTTTTTTTTTACGTTTTTAGCCCTCGCAAGTCGTCTAGGACAGTTTTTCTTAAAAATAATTTAAAAATTGTGTAATAAATATTTTGATAAATGAAAAATTGGAATTATGTTGTCTTAAGAGATATAAATTAATATATAACAAAAGTCAGTTGTTTTCAGCATAGATGAGTGAAAGTAGTGAGTCATGATATTCTTTGGTTTAGGTTTCACCTACATATGTTGTAGTATTGTATGTGTTTCTTAGGGTTAGATTTTTGAAAGCATAAATGTTTTTTTGAAAAATTAAAAATTTACCTAAGTGTGTTTATTTCTGTGTATAGTAAACAATATTTAAGTATAATTTAACGTGGTTAGTTTGTTAATTTAGTCAATTTAGTTTAGGGTTTAGGGTCTGGACGACTTATATTTAAGTCGTCTGGTAGATATATTTAATAATGCAGACGACTTGGTCGTCTTATAGTATCAACAGACGACTTAATTATAAGTCGTCCAAACCGGATTTTACCAAATTACTTTTAAACCTAACCGTATTTTTGACCGGACATATATAAGATGTTTTTTTTTTACTCATTTTTCGCGAAATTCAGAAAACCCTAACGCCGTTTCTCTCAAAGGTGATTTTGAGGCGATTTCGATCCGATACAAGACCAAGGTAAATCGAAGGCTTCTCTTGCGGATTTATGGGTTTTTATTAGGATGGATGTTGTTTTCCTTTACTTTTACCGTTTTGTTTTGTGTTTTCAACGATTTCTGGAAATTTTGGTTTCAAATTAGGGTTTTAAAAATTGGGGATTTCAATCGATTTGTTGTTTAGTTAGGTTGGATGTTGTTTTCCTCTCCTTTCACGGTTACGATTTGTGATTTCAAGCAATTTGTGGATATTTTCATTCTCAAATTAGGGTTTCAAAGATTGGGGATTTCAATCGATTTGTGGTCTAGTTAGGTTGGATGTTGTTCTCGTCTCATTCGTCTGGTCAGC